GTTACGCAAGCAAGATATTATTAACACATGCAAAACAAGATAGAGCCAGAGAAATATTAATAACTGATTATGAAAAAAATAATAATAATAATAAATACCTTCACTAAGTTTAGTGTTGTTCTTCACATTTAAAATGTTTTCCTCATATTTTGATGGTTTAAATCAATCATGTAAGGTCATAAAAAAAAAAGAAAATGTAAAAGCTCCCGACATCACTACTGTATGTTTGGTGAGGTTAGTGCCACAATAGTGCAATTTAAGACCCAGCTTTCTGTGGACTGACAGACCTAAGTAACCACTGAAGCATTACTGCATTTTTCCAGTTGTCAAAAAATGTCATTTTCACTTTTATTACTGCAGTCAGAGCATCGATTTGTAGAGCATGAGAAGTTATTACATTTCTTTCAAGGTCAGTTACAAAAAGAATACCTTTACGATCAATATTTTATCATTTTATTAACCCCTTTCATCATATAACGTATACAATACATTATATGATGGAAAGTGTGTGGTCTCCTCTCTGCTGCCATCTTGTTACTCCTAAGCACTCTTAAAAAATGTAGTAGCTGAGACCTAGTCTTAACACTTAGAAACCTTTATGAATCACACTTATTCATACATTTAGGATTAAAAGTAGAATTATGCCATTTTTAGAATGTTGACACACTTAAGACTAAACTTTTGTCTTTATACACATGGCCCCAAATCTCTTCTTTCACAATCTGATGTCTTCAAATACCCTGTTACTATCCCATAAAATGTAAGGATGATCATCGTTTCTCAATACTAACTCCATGACTTTGAGTAATCGGTAACACTTTACAATACGGGTGCACTAATATGAATTCATACTTAAATAATGCACAGATAATCATGAGTTGAAGTATGACTAAACCAGAACTAAACCATTAATTATTGATTACTGCATCAGCAACTAATAAAGAGTAAGATTAATAGATTATGTAATAAATGAATTGTTAATGACGTGTCATTGTGTATTAATTCCTTAATAACATATTTTATTAACAAATAGTGTCAATTAATGTGTTAATTACACAATTAGTCAACGCTATGCAATTATGTTATGACTTTACTTGTTGAGTCACATGACTATTAACTAATTGTCAAGTAATTTGGTTTAATGTCATTATGGTTATGGGTTTTGTCATCCCCACTAAAGGTCTGTGGGACAGTTGCACATGCAGTGAGTGTAATGTCAGAGAGTGTTTTAAGGATGGGTAAGTTCGGCCGCACACAAATATCAGCACACCAGAATCTGAAAAACTGACGCTGTTACACCGTGTTTATACTGGACGAGACCATTACAGCTGTCTACACTGGACATGACAGACCATTGCAAGCCCATTGGTCCTTCATAACAGAAGTAGCGCAAGAGCTCGGGGTACATCAGAAATAGAGTGGCATCAGTTTACTTTCAGGGTTTTATTGTGTCGTGGAGCATTGTGTCGCATCCAGTGTTGTATCACTGATTATAAGGGGTTCTAGTTTCTTTGTCCGGTCTAGACACAGTGTTATGAAATAGCAGATTGCTCTGTTCTGTGTGACTCTCCTGTTCAAACTCGTTCATCAAAATGAACGAATCTTTCCTGAGTCAAAAACTCGAAAAAAAAATATTTGTTCATTTTCATGAATGAGTTCAAACAGGAGAGTCACGAACGTGCATCACAGAACAGAGCAAAGTGAGCTATTGAGCTTATAAAACTTAAACTTTGTTTGTTTTTTAATGTCCTACCGTTTCGCTTGATATTCTTGATATCGCCTTATTCATCGTCTGGAATTAAAGCCCTTTGAACAGTTTGCAATTTGCACTGAAACTGTCTTTTGGACCGTGAACTGTTTGGTTCCCACTGAAGTGCATTATATGGAGAAAAATCCTGGAATGTTTTCATCAAAAACCATAATTTCTTTTCAACTGAAGAAAGAAAGACATGGACATCTTGGATGACATGGGGGTGACTAGTTAGTTCCAATGATCTTCACTTTATAATACGGATCCAAATAATTAGTAAGTAATAGCTCACAGATGAAAGTGTTACTAGATACTTCTGTGGGAATTGCTAATTATTTGGATCCGTATTATAAAGTGAAGATCATTGGAACTAACTAGTAATTACTCAAGTGTTACTACATGATCTAGTCATGATTTGTGCAACCGTTTGAGATTTTTGGTGAACTTTCGTATACTTTTAGAAAATGTCTTTAGTAACACTTGAGTAATTATTAGTTAGTTCCAATGATCTTCACTTTATAATACGAATCCAAATAATTAGTAACTCCCACAGAAGTATCTAGTAACACTTTCATCTGTGAGCTATTACTTACTAATTCGTTAATAAGAATTTATTTTAGTTAATAGTAGTTACTAGATTGTTAATAAACTTTTTCAGTAGTTCTCTGGGAAGTATTAAAAAAATAGTAGTTATTGATTACTTAATAGTGAACTACCACTTTCGTCTGTGCGCTATTACTTACTAGTTCGTTAATCAGAGTTTCTTGTTAGTTAATAATAGTTACTAGATTGTTAATATTGTGTTACTCATTAGTTCTTGTGTAGTTATTCATTAACGAAGGAACCGTATTCTAAAGTGTTACCAAAGTTTTTTTTAAAAGTGAACTACTCATTTAAGGAATGAATACATAATGACACATTGCATTAATAGCAATTAATGCATTACTTAATCTATGAATCATATAGACTCTTTATTAGTTGCTGAGGCAGTAATCATTAATTAATGGTTTAGTTCTTCATGCGTTAACTCATGATTATCTGTGCATTAGTTAAACATGATGTAATGCATATTAGTGCATCCATATTGTAAAGTGTTACCGAGTAATCTTCTTTTCCTCGTCAGATTGTTTTTGTTGTTGTTTTTCCCCCAGTGTGATTTTAGTTAAAGGCCTGAAATAAGGTCTGTGGTAAACACAAGAGAGTATTACTGATGTTTTTTATATAGTAGAATAAAATGTGAAAATATCTTGAGCTTTTGATTTTTTTAAATGCTTTTACTTGTCTTGAAAAAGACAGTTGCTAACAAGTGGATAAATGTGAAGACAAAGGTTGTCAGGGGCATTTAACATCACACCAAAAAAGAAACCTATTCTACTCACTAGTCTACTTTCACAGCCTCATTGTCACAATGATGGTTGTGTTCATCAAATGCATAACGCAGGAAATCCAAAAGTAACACAGAGAACAATCACACGAGTATATCACTGACAATGACACGAACCACTCTAAACTTAAAGCTACACTGTGTAACTCTTTTAGTTTATTCTTAGCTAAAAACACTTAGTTCTTTCAAAAATATGTGTGCTCATTAATGTATATTTACTTAGTTCGAGTAATAAAGTTTTCTAGTAGTGAGTGTATAATATGCCATTGAAAATACATAGGGGTAAGGGGTTCTAATATCGGTCGCCATGTTGCCCCTCCATCTTGAAAGTACATTAGCCAAAGAGGGACATACCCGTTAATTCAAGCTTCGCCTTTCGCGTTTACATTTCAGTTAACACTCATGGACGAGGTCGAACTGGAAGCCAGTTGGACTACATTGGCCACCGTAGGAGTTAAAACGAAATCGGAATTGAGAGGAAAAGAAACTAATATTCACTGGATGGCCATATATCTTTACACTGCTAGATGGGGGTAAAAATCACTCAGTGTAGCTTTAAGACGAGAACAAACAATGGACTGGACAGCAGCAAACAGGGAGGAATCAGTAACGTCTCGGTTACGTGTGGTAACCATCGTTCCCTGAAGGAGGGAACGGAGGCATACTTTGTGACCAACAAATAGGAATCTCGCCAGAGAGGCCAATCTACTTCGAGTGAAACTAAACGAGCTAATGCACATTGGCGTGCATTCTTTTGCATCAGCTGTTCAGTCTCGCAAAACGGGAATATAATATATTTTTGTATATCTAGGACAAGATAAATATTAGCAGAACCCCCACTTGTTCCTTGACAGTTTATCAGCATCTTGGCTTACCTTCCTGCTGCCATGTCTCAAAGCCTTTCTTCTGAAGACGAAGCAAACATCCCAATGGATCCCCCGCAGTCTGCTGGACCTGGGATAATTTCTCCTTCTCCGGACATTGCACCGGAGCCTCCATCTCGTGGCTGCACGCCAGCCCGAACACCGTCACGCTCGCCAAGACGCCGAGGCCAGTTTTCACTGCCACCAGGGAGACTTCCAACTTCCTCCCCAGCTTCCTCCTACCGTTCAGCTATCCCGATGATTCCACCTATAGGGAATTGGACCGTCGCAGGTTTGAAGCAAGCTTTAAGTAATTCTGACGTACAGTTCTCACGGAAATTAAATAAAGCGGAACTGTATGATCTCTATGTCTCCCTTCAACCAACTAACCTCTCGCCAAGGCCTTCACTAGCTTCAAGGACGGGCAACAGGCAAAACAGAGCCCACAGGGTCCACAATCCGCCTCAGACAACACCACCATATTCCACCCGCATAAGATCCAGCTCTCTCCATCCACCAAGCCGCAGCAACAGGCCTTCAGCAAGTCTAGGCCGTGCCCCAGAGTCCACCGAAGCAAGACCACAACAACCTCCCTATGCGGCTCAGCATACCACCACAGATCACGCCGCAGCAGCGACGGTCGCAGCCGGGCCCAGCGGCCTCTTCTCAGCCCCTCAGCCATATCCGCCTCTAACCCTTTTCTTTCTCAGTGGCCTCCAGCTCCCGTCACAGACATTAGCGCAACGCTACCTCCATCAGCTGCGCATGCCCAAGCCTTCCAACAGGTCTATGCAGGAATTTCTACCTCCTCCTCTTTTCAGTGGCCTGCAGCCCCAGTAGCGCAAACAAGCGCAAGCCAACCTCCGCTCGCAGCACAAGCCTACGCTTCTCACTCTCACCCCTCCCTTCCTTCCTGCCCTCTACCAAATTTTCCCCGGCTCATACTCTTCCCAGCTCTTCCCTCCAAACTAAATCCCAATATTCTCTCTTTACAGCAACACAGATGCCCATCCCGCCTAACGCCACCGCAATGGAACCGCCTCCAGTGTTAAACAACATCCGGGCACAAATCCTTTCAGGTGCGGATGTAGATCTCTCTTCCCTGCTTTCTCTGCTTACTGCAGCTGGATCAGACCGGCAAATAGACTGTGGGGATTTCTCTGTCACCCTAAAAAACTCAAACACTCACTCATCCCGTCAACTATCATTTTCTGAATTTTCTATTGCCTTTGCTTGTTTCACAGAGATCATTTGTTCAGCTTTCCCCCACAGGCGGCGCAAACTATATGATTATCTGTCAGGCGGCGCGAACTAAATGATTATCTGGTGATCATAGCGGAGCTCACGCTGTCCTATGGTGGCGGGCACTTCTATACTTACCACAAACTCTTCGCAGCCAAAAATGCAGTACGAGTCGCACAGTGGAACCAGTGCACATACTGGGGTGCACTCGATCAAGATCTCCACAGCAGGGTGTTTCTGGGCTGTAAAAACATTTCCTGCGCAGTCTGCAGGTCCGTGGCTCACTCAACAATGTCATGCCCACAAGTTATCCCTTCAATTCCACCCTGCCCAGAAACTAACCCAGCTAGATCTACCAGCTGTGTGCCTCGTCCTGCAACCGCTGTAGCAAATCCCCGAGATTTCAGGAGAACCCCCTCCTTCGAAGACAGCAGGCAGCCCTGCAATAACTTTAATGCTGGTAAATGTGTCGGTACCTGCACATTTGCAATTTCTGTGGTGGAGCCCATGCCCACCTCGTGTGCCCTGTGTATAAATCTGCAAATAAAAAATCTAAAAATTACTTATCGACTCCTGTAAATAGTTCACGCATGCACTTCGAACTAGCTCATCATCCGGACGCCGAATTTACAAAATACCTTCTGTCAGGCCTCGAAAATGGCTTTAAACCTGGTGTAGAATGCCCGCTCTCACAGAACACTCAGAACCTGAAGTCGTTGACAACCTGATCAATAAAGAAGTCGAATCAGGTTTCATGATCGGCCCGTTCGAAAATCCCCCTTTTAGCACATTTTGTATCAGTCCCATCGGAGTAAAAAACGTCTAATAATCGACTTATCAGCCCCACATAATTCTCCTTTCCCAAGCATTAACAGCTTAATTCTACTCTATGAATTTTCGCTCAAATACCACGATCGACATGATTAAAATCGCAGGTAGGGCCGCTTGGCTTGAAAAAAACGACATTACTTCAGCCTTCAAAGTAATGCCTATCCATCCAGATTCATGGCACATTTTTGAAGTACGCTGGCGCGGGAAATACTATTTGGCCATGCGTTTAACTTTCGGATGCAAAAGCAGCCCAAAAATATTTGACATGCAATCAGAAGCCATTTGCTGGATTTTGTCCAACAATTACGCCATTCCTCACCTCATTCACCTGCTAGACGACTTTTTAATAATTTCGCCTCCCGATGCTATCCCAGCCGCGCATTTTCTCACAGTCCAAAACGTTTTTTCTGAACTCGGAATCCCTATTGCACACGAGAAAACAATGGGTCCAGCCACATCCATTGAGTTCCTCGGAATTAACTTGGATTCAGTCAAATTCCAAGCATCTCTGCCCAAAGAGAAAATCGATCGAATTATTCTTGTCTCATCTAACTTCCTTGACAACCCAAACCATTCCAAACGCGAATTACTATCCACTTAAATTTCGCTATGCGCATCATTCCGCAGGGGCGCTCATTTATATCGCACCTCCTCTCGGTCGCATCCTCCGTCCACGCTCTAGAGGACCCCATTTCTCTAACTCAAGCATGTCGTGAAGAACTTGGATTATGGTTAACATTCCTAAACTAATGGAACGGCCTATAATTTTTCTATAGCCATCTTGTCCTGTCCCCCGTCGATATCCAACTGTTTACAGACACTGCCCCCTCAATCGGTTTCGGAGGATTTTACCAAGGCCGTTGGTTTGCGGCTCCTTAGCCACCACAATTACAGGACACGCCCCAGTCCTCAGCTCTTTTCGAGCTTTACCCTATAGTGGTAGCAGCGTTTCTGTGGGGGAAAGAATGGTCTGCTAGCAGCATATCAGTGCATTGTGACAATGATGCAACAGTGCATTGCATTAACAAAGGCCGTTCTCATTCACCTGCCACGATGCCTCTTTTAAGGCGCCTCACCTGGATCTGAGTGTGCGACCGACCAATTCATCACAATTGCTAAACACGTTCCCGGGTCAGAAAACCAAATCGCTGACTCTCTGTCTAGTTTTCTGTTTCAGAAATTCAGGAAGCTGGCTCCAGAGGCGGACCAATTCCCAACTCCTGTTCCTCCATTTTCAGAACTAATATTCCCGTAACTCACCCGTTAAAAGCCCTCGTTGACGCATCACTCGACACCATCCTCCAAGCAGTCTCTCCCAGAACCCTTCAGTCTTACGAGACTGCTTGGAGATGTTTCAAAGCCTTCCACTTATCTTATAAGATATTATTACCAGATTTTTCTCTTATTTCAATCACTTCATTTATCTCATTACTTCACAGTATCAAGGGCCTCCAAGTCGGGTCCATCAAAGGTTACCTGAGTGGCATTCACTTCTTCCACAAACTGATGTACGGCACCCCCTCCCTGGAGATAAAGAATTCCCAAACCTCCCTGCTGATCAAAATGGGTTCAATGATCCCAGCCAACCCGTCCTGACACCAGACAACCCATAACACTAGATATCCTCACTACATGTATTTACACCCTCCGCACAGGCTTTCAGTCCCTCAATACTGCCCGCACACTAGACGCCATGTTCATTTTAGCTTTTTTTGGTTTTCTCAGATGTTCCGAGCTCGCTATCACTTCAAAATTCGACCCATCAATCCACCCCACCATCTCAGATCTATCAGTTCTAGATGGCGAAACAATCTCATTTTTGATCAAACAAAGCAAGACAGATCAAACTAGGAAAGGTCATTTCATTTACATTTTCAACCTCGCATCACCAATCCAACCATACCAGTCCGTTTTGGCATATCTTCAATGGAGAACTTCTCAGGTCAAATCCCATCTCGAACCCCTGTTCATAGATGACAAACCCGTGACACGCTTCTGGTTCCAGAGTCACCTCAAATTAGTTCTCCAACAGTCGGGCATCCCAGCCAAAAACTTCTCAAGCCACTCCTTCAGTATCGGGGCAGCAACCTCCACAGCTCTCGGAAGATGGTCCTCTGATGCCTTTCAAACTTACATAAGGACCAACCAGTTCCACATTAAAAAAGCACACCAAACCCTCATCGATTAAAAAAAAAAAAAAACTCTCTGCTGTCCAGCGAGCATCGGCCTCCCAGCGGACGTACTATGCACTCACCTCTAACTTTTTTCTTCCAGCGAGCATCAGTCTCCCAGCGGACGTACTTCATACTTATCTCTATCGGTGTCCCGTCCAGCGAGCATCGGTCTCCCAGCGGACGTACTATGTAATTATCTCGAAATCCCTTCCGTCCAGCGAGCATCGGTCTCCCAGTGGACGTACCATGCACTTACCTCTAACTTTTTTCGTCCAGCACGCATCAGTCTCCTAGCAGACGTTCTTCATACTTATCTCTATCACTCTCCCGTCCAGCTAGCATTGGTCTCCCAGCGGACGTACTATGTAATTATCTCGAAATCCCTCCCGTCCAGCGAACATCGGTCTCCCAGCGGACGTACTATGTACTGTTCTCTAAAACATCTCCCGTCCAGCGAGCACTGGACTCCCAGTGGACGTACTATGTACTTATCTCCAAAATCTCTAGTCCAGCGAGCATCAGTCTCCCAGCGGACGTACCGCATACTTACCTCTATCACTCTTCCGTCCAGCGAGCATCGGTCTCCCAGGGGATATACTATGTACTTTTCTCTAAATCTCTCTCGTCCAGCGAGCACTGGTCTCCCAGCGGACGTACTATGCACTCACCTCTAACTTTTTCCATCCAGCGAGCATCAGTCTCCCAGCGGACGTACTTCATACTTATCTCTATCGCTCTCCCGTCCAGCGAGCATTTGTCTCCCAGCAGACGTACTATGTAATTATCTCGAAATCCCTACCGTCCAGCGAGCATCGGTCTCCCAGCGGATATACTATGTACTTTTCTCTAAATCTCTCTCGTCCAGCGAGCACTTGTCTCCCAGCGGACGCACTACATACTTATCTCCAAACTCTCTCAACCAGTGAGCATTTGGTCTCCCAGCGGATGTACTATGTACTTTTCTCTAAATTTCTCCCATCCAGCGAGCGCTTGTCTCCCAGCGGACACAGAACGTATCTATCTTTCCATTCCTCCGCCAGGCGAGTCGGTCTCTCAAGCGGATAGCACGTATCTTCCTTTTTCTGTCCAGCGAGTATTGGTTCTCGGTGGAATTGACATTGGATTGGATTGGATTGATTTTTATTTAAAAGGGACCATGTGCAATTAATAACATAAATGTAAACATTTGATGCATTACACCAGAGTTAGCCTTAGGCTAATTTACAAATGCAGTCCCCCGGCACAAATAAATACAGATACATACACACAGATTAAAATATCAACATTATTCAAGAATATGTGGCATTTCAAACATAAAACATCAAATATTCTTCAAGAGCATATAACATGTACTTAATGACCTCACTGACACACACACACACGCACGCATCTATCTTTCCTGCCCAGCCAGCATAGTCAAATTTATTCCACCTCGCAGGTGGCTGGTCGAACAGGCGCAGTTTCCTGACGCCGCAGTTTCCTGACGGCCCTCCCGGTCAGCCGTTTTGTCTAATCCTGCTACTCCATGTCCATCGGTCGGCGGGACTCACCAGTTAACACCTAGAGATATCCCGGTCAAGAGACCAAGCTTATTGAAAAGCCAGCCCGCCAAATTCCCTGCGTCTTTGGGGGGTCTATAGTCTGGCGGCTGTCCTTTTGCTCTTCATGCGTTTTGGGGGGAGTACTCTGGGTTCGGGCAGAATTCCAAGCTCGGAGCCCTCCACCCGGACAGCACGCCAAGTACGCATCTTTATCATAATAATTATATGTAGATACGAACTCGTGAAATGGTGGTGATGTTGTCATTCGACTGTGTGTTTATAACCTATGTTTAGGTTTTTACTTTTACAGATTGTATTTTGGCTTCAAAAATTCATTAAATGTATGTAAATTTGTGAAGATTCTCATGATGAACAAAATATGTGAAAATCATAATCTTATATCAGAATACTTGGAACATTATGCAAGTCCACTTTTATGATTGTTACACCTTGCAGCCGTTGGGACAGATTTTCCATTTAAAATGGCACCGCCAAGGTGGTATCACAGATTCTATTAATACATGTCAACCCAAAATACAAACAGAAGCACACATACCCGACCTGTCCAAATGTCTTCTCCCGAGGGACCTCAGAGGAAACCAGATTTTACAGCCTTCAATAGTGAAAACAAATCTGATGAGACACAAAAGCAATCTCTCCTTTTGTAACCAAGTGATACATTTCCATTTTCTGTAAGAGATTTATGAAGGCAGATTTATCACTGCCTTCATAATATTAATGATGCATTTTCACAGGTGCACAACATTTAGTGCCGTAGTGGAAAAACATTATTTAATTTTATGTTAATATGAAGCAAGTTGTTGTGTGACTAAAAATGTAATGATATAACTTGATTTTTACATTCTCTCAAAAAACTTTTTGTCAACTCAAAACTTCCAACATGATCCAAAAAGGACATAAAATGTAGTGAAACAGAACACAGAGCAAAGAGACAGGAACTTGGGAAAAGCTTGAGGGGACACTGGAGAAGAGGAACAGATGCAGGCGCAAGGAGACAGGAACTTGGGAAATGCTGGAGGAACTATTCACAGGTAGGGAATACAGGAAAGTAATCCATTGTCTAAGTCGTAGACCATGATTGTGTTTAAAGGGATACTTCACCTCTGGAAAGATGAATGTGTGTTTAAAATGGGTCATTTATGTAGAATAAATGTGAAATTATATCTGAATTTGGAGCTTTCTAGACTGAGAAAAGCCAGAAAATGTATTTTTGGCTTATGTGGATGAAAGACAACAACTCCCAGAATGCACTTGCTTCGTTGCCCTAGGAGGCCACGCCTAACGCTAACAGAGCGCAGTACTTAAACAACAAGTCTAGGCTACTAGTGAGTCTCCATAATGAGACTGCCCGAAAATGTGTTTAGAGATCGCCTAAAATGTCCGGGATTCGGAATTTTTCTTAGCAATGTTAAAACGCACATCAACCGATCACTTGTTTAGCGTTCATGTAAACACTACATTCAGAATGAATTCAGTTAGATTGAAATAAAAGCTGTGCATGTAAAAAATGAATGGCGACTGCAGAAATGCAGCTGAATCCCGGACATCGACAGCAGGACATGTCCAGGAAAAAGAGGATAGTAACCCCTACTACTGCTAGCCTTCTAGCTTAGCTTCCAAAAAAAGATGGCCGACACTATGTGTTCATTCTGTGAGTGAGATCCACCCTCTATGGGCGCTCCACTCCCCTATATCCACTCCTCCGATGATGCAAAATGACGATACATAAATCTCTCCTCTCAGGGGTATATGAGGGTGGAAAGCATGGTACTTCAAAAATACTACAGGTTTACTACTAATACAAAGCTTAATACTAAATCCTGAAGTATCCTAAGTGTCCCTTTAAGTTGTGTGCAGGTGCAGGTCCGGGTGATTGCTACGTCAGTGCAGGTGAGGAACAAGAAGGGATGCTAGGAAATGTATTGTGCTAAGGTGAATGGGCTGGTGATGGGAGTTCTAGACTATTAGTAGACATTGGGTGTGTCCCAATTCAAAGGCTGCATCCTTCGTAGTACTCTGACTTCAAGGCCACACCTTCGAAAGACATGAAGGTTGCACTGAGCGTTGTTAAATGGGATGGTCTAGCCTACAGAGGATTGTACTGTGTTGCATGCATTGAGCTCTCCTGGCCACCATATTTTGTTTGTTTCGGAGCTTGAAGTTTTGCGTCCCATTGACTTTTATAATATGGACAAAAATTCTGAAACACTCTTCAAATATATTTTTTTTGTGTTTCACAGGCTAAAGAAATCCATATGAATTGGGGAAAACATGGGAGTGAGGAAATTATGACCGAATTAAAATTGTTGAGTGAGCCATTCCTTTACGAGAAGAATTGGATACCATTTTGCTCAAATTGAAAATGAAAAGTGATTTGCGGATTTAATTATAGTTTGAAAACCAATAATATTATGGACCCCCATTCTCAAATTATAGAAAAGTAATAGCAAACTTCTCCTCACCGTGTCTGTGACGCGCCACACAAATGGTGTGGGACAAGTTAATAACTAGATTTAGGATTTCAACAACTACTAAATTTAAGTGTGAGCAATAATAAGATCAAAACATGCCAATAATTAAAGTTGATAATGTTGTCCTTCATGTTCCAGTCAGACCTGACTGGAACATGAAGGACAACATTATCCATCAGAAGTTCTTGTCCTTTTTGCCCCAGCAGTGTGGCTTGCGAGTGCTAACTACTTGAGTAAATCACAATCATAAACTATGACAACAGCCATCAACCTTTACACTCAGCACACACCCTCAACTGAAATGAATTGTGATGCACACACAGGTAGACACACAGAGAAATGTCTATTTTTCATCAAAACTGAGCGAAGTCAGCACAACATTCTGATTGTACAGTTGTAGTGTACTTCAAATCTTACAAGTCAATTTTAAGTTAAGTTAATATAATACCTTATTATTCCAAATATAAGACGACCCCCCTTTCAAGATGTATCTTTTGGAAAAAGGCTTTTTGATGACCATATTTGTCTTTTAAATTGCATATTTTTCATATTTAAATTTTAAACTTTTGTATTTAAAGTAAATACTGGTAAAAATGTACCAACAACAATCACATTCAGAAATGAACACTTTATTGCATAGATACCATAAAAATCACCCGAAGTTCTCATTTCCAATAGATGTAACTATGACTGATTACTTTTCATGTACAGTGACAGGCATGTCAAAATATTACTTCATATTTTAAAGAATGTTGGTAACCAGACAGTTGATGTACCCTATTGACTTCCATAGTAGGAAAAAATAAATACTATGGAAGTCAATTGGGCACATCAACTGTCTGGTTACCGACATTCTTCAAAATATCTTCCTTTGTGTTCAGCAGAAGAGATAAATTCATACGGGTATGAAACAACTCGAGGGTGAGTAAATGTTGACAGAATTTTCATTTTGAAGTGAACTATTCCCTTAATGCACATGTA